TACAAAATGGCCAGAAGTATATGATATGCCGAAAACGACATCAGAGAGTACAATAAGAAGATTGTCAGGATTGTTTGCTTGTTTTGGGGTTCCAGAGATTTTAGTGACCGATAACGGCACTCAGTTTATGTCATCAGCTTTCAAACGCTTTTGCAGTGAAAATGGCATATCACATCTACAATCTCCTCCGTATCATCCTCAGTCGAATGGCCAAGCAGAAAGATTAGTAGATACGATTAAAAGAGCTCTGGTAAAGGGGAGAGGTGAGGGTATCCCAGAACAAGTGATAAGTAAGTTCCTAATGTCTTACAGAGTTACCCCCGATCCGGCAGTACCAGAAGGAAAGTCACCAGCCGAGTGTATGTTTGGAAGAAAAATTCGGACAGTCTTCAACAGTATGTTGCCACCCAGAAAGACAATAAAACCGATGAATGAGTATCGTACGGTTACTCGTAGCTTCCAGGTGGGTGAAAGGGTACTTGTTAAATCGTATCAAAGTAATAGAAAGTGGGAACAAGGTGTCATAGAACGTCGAATCGGAAATGTAATGTACCTTGTCCGGATAGGTGTCGGAAAATGCATAAGACACATAAATCAAATGCAAAGAGACAGCAGTGCAGTGGTCGCAGAAGGCCGTCTCCCATTTCAATTGCTCATGGACTCACCTCAGAAAAGCCATCATGAGCACAAACATAGAGGAGAAAACGACGCAAGGGAAAAGTTGTATAACCCTCGAGAGTGATGGACCGTAAGAAGAATGCGGCCAAAAAGTCCCAGGTGGATTCGAGAAAGAAGTCTTACACAACGGACTTTGAAGGAGGGAGGTGTGACGACGGACCACGGGTAAACTCGAGGAAGCTATAAGAGTCTCTAAGGGAGCCGAAGATATTCCATCCGATCACTGTTAGGAAGAATATTCTAGAATTCCAACGTGTAGCTTATCGATTGGACAACGCTAATAACCTCCTGTATGCGGATTGGAGGACTATAATGATGATTTTCGTTCTTACTAAAAACTATAAATACCTGACAATTTTTACCTCATAATTGACACTGTTTGGAATAACATTCCTTTCACTAGTCTTCTGTCTTCTCCTTGCGACTTGGAAGGGTTTTGGCGTTCTTGTGTTCACTTATACGAGTTATATCAAGTAATTAACCTTCAAGATATAACAGTATTATTGCTTTGGCTAACCTTTTCTTTGGATCGCCATCCGCGTTTATTAACTTTATCCCTTGCGTCATGCAAGAAAGCCTGGCTTGCTGTACCGATGGCGTGTATTAAACCCTTTTCCAGACAGGTCGTACTTCGGAAATGGGAACAGAGAACACCTATCAATATGTTAATGCAATAGTGTGAACTTACTTTAAACAGTTGAGTAAAATTTGTACTTACTAATAATGAATTTCTTTGTATTCCGTGCAAAGTGTAATTGTTCGCCAGTTCTGGCGAAAGCACGTAACTCAGACAAGCTTTCACTGATTTCCGAGGATCGTCACACAGGAACCTGTATAATCTTCCCACCTAAAATTTGTTCAAATACCTGTAACGACTTACGAAGTAATCCCGGAACTGTACGTTATCTAAAGCAGCCTCTAAAGAACGCAAGTCTTCATGCGTTCTTAATGGGGATGCGATAGCTGCAGTGTCTACGGGCTCCATGCGCCTGTCAGTTACACCCATCAATTTATCTATCTTCCTAGAGAGTTCACCTACCGCCTTCAGCAGCATTCTCAACATTTTATTACTATCGTCGCCCAACCTTTTGTTATCAGGAAAACAGTAAATGCAACTTACTATTTATCAACTGCCGTCGATGTACATGGAATGGACGGTGATGAAATAAGTTTTTTAGTGATACCTAAGTAAATCATATGCATAGGTTCAGAGGGGAAACATTTTATCATATCCAATGGCAGAGTTCCAAATGAACTTCCACCACGATGATGGGTAGATTGTGACCTACTACGGAAAGTGACATCATTTCCCAATTCGTGTTCACCATTGGGAAAAGTCATTCGACCACCCATTCGTATCCCTAAAACATGAAATTTGTCACAGCCAACAGTACCGTTGTGTCCAACAACATACCGAACGTTACTGCGAGCCGGAGCGTCACAAATAACAGCAACAAATTTAACTGTTAAATGTACCTGAGACTGATCTACATTTATACCTACTGTCAGCAACTCTTGCAACTCAGTGATAAGTGCCGCTGACATGTCGTCGAAATCACATGGTTTCACTTCGCCCCCATATATCCCAACTATAAATACATTACTAACTATTGCACCCGCTATGCGACCTAGTATCGGCCATAACTGTTGGTTAGAGCTTTTAAACAAGCTTAGACCAGCGTAGTTCAACTGCAGCTTCAGTTCTGTAAAACGGAACTTACGTAGCCAAGTTTCCGAAATCCTCAGAAGACTTGATTTCAATCCCAAATGGTAATAAGTCCCCGTTCCGAGAATTTTAGGCTCCACGTCGTTGAATCTACGTAGAACACTTCGGACGGATGTCGGTAGTTCAGAAATGAGCACGCGAAACAGGTCCAGAATTCCGTCAGCCTTCTTCACGGTTATATCACCACCTTTCATCATGCCAATGACCATTCGGTCGACCTCTTCTTTCATTGAAAGACGACTAGGTGGAGGCATTTCTGAAATCACACCACACATACATCGTTAATTAATGAAGCTACACTACCATCGGCTGTACTGCCAGAAAACTGGACATAACTACATAAAGCAGTGGCTGTTTCTGAGACAATACTGTTACACTGCTCTGTAGCTACCCTTGTACCTACTCCTGTGACGACAACTGAATTGTTGTCATCTTCGTCACTGCTGCTTAACTGATAATTTCTTATGAATTCATCTCTCAACTTCCGCAACCTTCTGTAATATGTTGATCTGGGACAGCCCAGTAACCTCAAGTCTCTGGCGGCTTGAGCCCTTCTTTAAGCAATCTTATAAAGCTGTAAATTATCTTCCTGAAAGAGACAATTTACTTAAGTGGGAGTGAAGAACTACAGTAATCGAAGTTTCGGATAATGCTAAAAACTCACCTGCATTGAGTTCGAATTTTGAAAAAGTAGTTTACAAACGACAATTCATTGTCTCGTGTCTGTTTTAAGTATTAAAACAAGACCCGAGAGTCGACAGACTATTCCTGACGAAAAGTCCTTATTGTATCAAAATTAACAAATTTTCATTGTAATTTAATGTTTCAACGTTTAATAATCGAATGCATATGAAATCTTACTATGGAATGATGCACTACTCATGACTTCTTGATTTTCCCCAAATTTTGGGGATTACCCCAAAGTTGGGAGCTTGCGATATCACGGCAATATTCATACCACTGAACGGCGGAAGTTTCCGTAACATCTGCAAAAGCCGCAGCTAATGTTACTGGAGACTTTATGATCCAATATGAAACAATTATCATGCTTTGTCTTAGCCTGAGCCGTGACCAGGCGAAGAAGGTGCCACTTCGAGCAGATTTTTTTCTCCAACATATAACGTAACGAAATATAATGTCATCACGGTAGTCTGAACATCGTGCTGAAGTCATTTGATTGCCTCAGTCACAGACACAGGAACTTCTTAATAGTCCCGTCTGTTGTAGTCGCTCAACATTCACCTCTTCTCTAAAATCTGCTGTAAAACGATCGAATGTGAGCATCTCGGCGGCCTGCTTGAATATCTGGGCTACCTGTTCCTCCCATCTAGATATTTCGTCAAGTTATCTGTTTTCTTGTTTGTTTTAACACACTATTATGTCTGTTGAACTCACAACCTATTCAGGCGCGTTTACGAAAAGTTTACAACCTGTCGCTGTACGGATTACAAAAAGGTACAACCAGCGACATCATGGTGGTTTGCAATATGCATTGAAACGAATGAACATTATTCAGATGTCGATTATCGAACGGTAGGACTCTAATTTATGGACGAGACAATCAGAGGCGTTTGAGGAAGTTCAAGGTCACGGCGCTAAGTTTCACCGGAAACTTGTTGAAATACTTTATGCTGAGAATTCAATAGTGTACCACAAATATAATGTTGAATAAAGCTTATAATAATAATAACTTAGCGCCGTGACTTTGAAATTCCTCAAACGCTTCTGATTGGCTCGTTCATAAATTAGAGTCCTACCCTACCGTAGTATAGGTGTGATTTAATATTGGCTTATCGTATACTGAACGAATACCTTGGTACTAACATATCTTACCTTATTCTTCCGTCTAGGACTGATCATTTGAGAGGACATTCGAAAAAAGTTCAAAAACTGAGATGAAATCATTTACGTCTGCTATTTTATGGACGACCGTTGAACGTACGTTTAAGTGACCTTGAGAACATTAGCCAATCAGAAGAGAGTTGGTATAAAGTAAAAATATATTATGAAAAACTGATAAATTACAATGGATATTCTTCTTTCACATGATTTAGGAACTTGTTAAGGTTGGATAAAGGTTCAGAAGTTCTGAAATCATAATGCATGCGGTATAGGAACTCGTCCATATGGCTCCATAATAATCGTCCTCTGGAACCATGGTAGGGTCTTAAAAAATACTTCAGCCTAGACCACATGCCTTTAATATTGTTTGTATGAACCCCCATCATTGAATCGAGAATATCACGTATATTCACGGAAGTGTTACTTACCCAATCTTCCTTGATAAAACGTCCTTTGTTGTATTTTCGCTTTCTAATTACTGTCTCATCTATTTCAACTATCTTTCCAACTCCCCCAAACGATTCATGTACTTGTGATCGCGCAAAGAAAGAGCAGATTTTTTTCTCCAACATATAGTACAACGAAATACAATATCATCACGGTAGTCTGCACATCGTGCTGCAGTCATTTGATTACCGCAGTCACAGACACAGGAACTTCTTAATAGTCCCGTCTGTTATAGTCGCTCAACAATCACCTCTTCTCTGAAATCTGCTGTAAAACGATCGAATGTGGGCATCTCGAATCGAACTTAGCGCCGTGACCTTGAACATCCTCAAACGCCTCTGATTGGCTCGTCCATAAATTAGAGTCCTACCAAAAAAACGCACAAAAATCTAAGCCAATCAAAATTCAGTTCACTATTTAACTTTGTTATTTAACTAGCATCAACTTGTAATCAGTATCATCAGCCATCATTTGGTGTGTACTGCGAGATGCCTGGTAGGTCCGATTTGAAAGTCTAGCCACTTAACATGAAAAATGTCGCGTTTCTTCTTGTAAATGTATAAGATTTTAGGCAAAGCAGATATACCACTCTAAATGTTCTAAAGATTGTTACATTTGAAATACTCAGAACTAGTTAGTTTGTAGTATATACATATATACATTGAAGTCTAAAGGATAAAGTAACAAAGTAAAGTTTTATAAATTTGGGCGAGAAGTGGGTAATTTGATGATCGCTAGGATGTCACTTTACAGATCTTACGACTGACGAGCTGCATTTTGTCATGTCTCATTATTTTCCTGGCATAAGCGAAAAAGATGACTTTTATTTGTTCTGTCGCCTGAATTAACCAAATCTTAGCCATTGTCGCTTGTATATCCCTCAAATTTCCTCTATTTTCCCATTCTTGTTTAATTGGAAGATCTTTTCCCACGTTTCTGTCTGTCGCTTGTCCGTATATTTATACCCATGGGTACGAGAAGTGCACTTCTCGTATATATCGTTTACCGGGGAAAAAATGTGTGTAGTAATGCTCCTTAGATCGGTTAAGTAGTAGAAAAGCGAAAGGTTGCTTCCGAAACATTCTACTTCTTGAATTTGTTGATACCACTGAGTTTACAATTTGTTTTGCTTAGTACCGTTCTCTAAGAACTTTATTTGCCAATGTGTATTTCAGAGTGATTTATAATCTAGCATTTTCACAAATCAATCTTGGCAGTATAGTTATATATTTCGACTCATGTTTATTTCGTAGTTCATATTTTGTTGCTAGGATCCATAATACCTTCTCTTGTTCCTTTGAATTATAAATAATATGATCCACCCATTTTCATCTCATTCCTTAAATTCGCATTCATCCGTCAGCTTTTTAGCTTCTCATGTCTCAATCAGGAAATCCTTTCAACGATGTTTCTGAGGTCTATAGGTTTTGTGCCAACTGACAAATTGTCGTCTTTGACTGCTGCTCAGTTCTTTCTAACTATGAGGTTTGTCAAACAAGAATGATCTATAAAATCGTGTTACTTTGTTTCGAAAATATTATCCCCTTCGAATTGATGGCTGATAATAAGACTAATGGCTTTCTCTTGTAATCTGATGACTATGACGGTAAGATTTACTGAACGATAGTGTCTCGACAGTCTTACCCAGTTTTACAAACAACTATTGGTATCATTCCTTGAGCCTGAGCTACACTTTCATGATGTTGAAGCCGCTAATTAAGCACCCCAACGTATTAACTTGAGTCACAGTGTCGGCTGCTTTGATAGATGATGGGGAAGTCATTCAAGCAATAGAAAATTACTGAAGCTTTCCTTCTAAGTCGCGAATCATATCGTTGTTGATTATTTGTGGAGCTTAGCCGATCAATTAAAAAATTATAATGTCAGCATAGTGACACAATGGCCCAGACTAAAAATTAAGTTCATAAATCTTATAATAGATGTTCGTCAAATTTATGTCCAGTTTTCTTGGTGAATAATCAACCAGAATAATTGCCTCTTAACGACTAGCCACATCGCTAGGTATCGTGATTATTATATAAATCATAATTTACAAATTTCAGACGCTCCTAGTTATCTTCTGTTTTGTTTGTTTCTACTTTCAAAGATAAACGGTCAACCTATCCAAATTTCTATGAAAAATATTCCCCAATAGATCGTTCAAGATCGTTTATTAGTGTGCATTTAAATCAGCAGTCAATAATATCCGATCCTAAAGTGAGTTGTTAATCACTCAAGCAACCATTTTATCCGTCGTTTTCTAGAAGTGTAGTGTTTAATCGACTCATATATTTTGTGTTAAATAATTATTCAGTGATGAATGTAAATAATACAGTACCGCTTTGAATTACTACATCTGATAACAACACATTAAGAAGAGATTACCAAAAGGAAAAGCAATGCAGTCAAAATCTCAGTAATCGACAATAGCGAAAAACTCAAATCGACGAGTGAACACGTCGAAAAAAGAATGTAATTGAGGATTAAGATAAACGAAATAGTATTAGGCGTGGTGTTTAGAATAAAGGTATGAATTGTTGTCTGATACAGAGACTGATTTTAAACCTTGTCCAAACATGATTAATAGTTATTTAAACATTATCAACAACCCAACATGCATCTACTATGTCAAAGTGACTGACATTCAAGTACTTGAGCTTCTAAATCTACTCCTTTTATCATATTATTCAACCCAACTTGGTCAGAGTATCTTCAATGAGATGTATTTTTAAAAGGTTTTATAGGCATCTAATGTAGGTAGTGTCATTAAATAAAGTGAACAACCCAGTCAACTCATGGGTCGTTAATAGGAGCAAACGTAAGATATAGCTATGAAAAGCGAATATATTCACGTTAAACGATCTCTTAGCTAGGCCTCAAGAGTATGACTTAATTATTAATCTTAGTGACCACTTATTCCACCAAAATGATCTGTAATGAAGGGGACTTTTAATTTAAAAGTCTATCTTGGGGAGAAAAATAGGATCTCTTGTAAAGTAATAACTGAGATTTTTAAAAAAATAAAATGTTCTATTTTCTGTAGTACATATGAACTGATGATTGACTACTAAATTATAGTTGCTTGTAAGTCATTACACCAGATTAACGTATCAGATAACTGATAAGTCTTCTAATTGAACGCTAGATTCGGTTACCTAAGCTCTCTAGTAACCCCCAGGCTAAATCTTTACAGCAACTTGTACGTGAGAGAAAAGGCGCGAAATATAGGCGGAAACGCTTTACTTTAAAGGTTCGTTTATGTACAGAAAATCTAGGGTATTTGTAGTATTTTTGATGGCATTGGGCTTCCGAAAATTTCTGGAACGCTACTAAACATAGAAGTATATGTAACCATCCATGCGAAAACGCGACATGTGACTTGTCACTTTCTAGATGTTTCTGGCAAAACTTATATCGAATACTGATTGGATAAGATGTTTCTCAACGTTTACAGAACCCTTTTTGTCATTTTTGAGGAAGTTTCTGGATGCCCCCAACAATAACTAGGTATTATTTGGTGCGACGTTTATTAGCTGTAGAGTTCTTTGTTATATTGTTGCATGATTCTTTTGTTTTTTGATGAGTTCACAATCTTCAGACAATTTTCACGAGATATCAGTTCTTATAATTCCTGACCGTTGTTGCTACCTTGACGTGGTGGTCGGGCTTGCCTATCGTGATGAAGCAACTGAGCTATACTGGCTGGAACAACCGTTCCTCAAGGTCCTACCATGCCAGACAGGTCGGTTGAAGAGCGGTAAGACTAAAAGCAACAAAACCAAGGTCCGAAGGCGAAGTCGTACTGCTGACTGTACAGAGGTGTGACAGCAGTAAGGTGTTTCCTTCAGACAACCAGCATGACAGCGATGCTGCCTTCCCACAAGGAGGGGTGGGGTTAGAAAAGGTCGACCCTAAAAATGCACACCTCGCCTTATCCCACGGATATCCGTCTCCGGCGGTAAGGACTCAACAAGTACGGAGCTAACACAAAAATCACTCATAAAAAGGTCGTGTGTGACCGACCTCAAGCAGCTGTCCCTTGGGCACTGCGGTCACGCTCTCAGGTCACTATGACCAACTCTAATCCAATTTCCTTTTCAGGTACCTCCAGAAGAACCCTTCCACGGTGTGGGCAACCGGGAAGTGATAACCGCCCTCATACCTCTAACAGCACTCAAGACCACTGTATTCATAATCAACCTCCCTCTTCAATTCCTATTATTCCTCCTACATCGACTTTATACACTAAACTTCCTCTTTTAGCTTCCTCCTCAAGTGTCACCACAGCCAACGATTCTAGTGCTCAAAACACTGTCCCAGGTCTACTGAAACCTCGCTCCAAACTATACATTGGAGCCTTCAACGTACGCACACTATGCCAAATCGGTCAGCAGGCTTCCTTGGCTAAAACCTTAGAATCTCTTACGATTGATGTATGCTGTGTCTCCGAAACACGCATACAGGATCCTAGTGTGGTCATTCACTTGACCTCACCTCGGCAAAACGGAGAGCCAACGAGATACACCCTCCGTGTATCTGGCGACCCGATGGCTAGTTCTCGTGGACTGGCAGGTGTAGGCATAGCACTTAGCATGAGGGCGGAACAAGCGCTATTAGAGTGGATCCCCGTTAACAGTCGTCTATGCGCTGTTCGGCTAAACGGCTCCGTAATAACTCGGAAGGATAGGGACACACGTCGTTGCCTTTTCGTCGTTTCTGCCTACGCTCCCACTGACTGCAGTTCGGATGAAGTGAAAGATGAATTTTACAGAAAGCTGTCTGAACTTCTTCAGAAAGCTAAACGTTCAGACATAGTACTCGTAGGAGGTGACTTTAATGCCCAGGTAGGTAGCTTAAACGAAACAGAAAGACATTTAGGTGGGTATTTTAGTATTCCGGCACAGCGAACAGATAATGGTGGTCGTCTGCTGCAACTGTGCTCAGACAATCGTTTATTTTTAGCAAACACAAATTTTAAGCATAAGGAGAGACATCGTCTAACATGGCGACCCCCTGCACCAAACCAACGATGGACTCAAATAGACCATATTGCCATCAGTCATCGTTGGAGAGGGTCAATAGAAGATTGTCGCTCATTCTGGGGTACCTGCTTGGACTCTGATCATGCCCTAGTACGAGCACGCATCTGCTTGCGCCTCACTGGACGCAAAAGAGCCACACAAAAAAGACTCATTAGAACCGAATTGAGTAATGAGAAAGCCAAAAGTAGGTTCCAGGAACAACTGAGGTCACACTTAGGTAGTTCTGAAAACGAGACTGACCCAGATGTTGCTTGGAAAGTTATACAAGCAGCTGTGGAAACAGCAGTGACATCTACCAGTGATTTAAACCAAATGGTTACAAAAAACCAATGGATTTCGTCAAGGTCTATAGCACTGATAGATTCTCGCAAACTCATCCCATCAGGTTTTGAATACGATGAAGAGCGTAAAGAAATCAAATCTAGGTTAAGCAAAAGTCTAAGGAATGATCGTGAGCAGTGGTGGGCAACGAAAGCAAAAGAGATGGAAAAGGCGGCGGCTATAGGGAACACAAGACAACTCTACAGACTAATAAAAGAAACTGGAATTAATAAATCAAGTGTAAGTCAGACTATTTCGGAAAAAGACGACACTCTCATCTGCTCCCAGTCCAGACGCTTAGAACGATGGGCGGAACACTTTAAGGAGCAGTTTAGCTGGCCTTCAGCTACTCTACAACTACCCTCTATTCCCAGACAGTGTGAATGGAACATTGAAGTAGGTCCCCCAACTCTAGCTGAAGTTCAAAAGGCTATAGCTAATCTGAAACGAGGAAGGGCAGCTGGTCCAGATGGATTGGCCCCAGAGGTCTTTAAGGATGGTGGTCTAGTTTTAGCGATAAGGTTGACTAATATTTTAGCTAAAATCTGGGAGTTAGACGTTATCCCATCTAACTGGTCACAATCACTTATCGTCCCAATATTTAAGAAAGGGTCAAAATCATCCTGTGACAACCACAGAGGGATTAGTTTGACTAATATAGTATCTAAAATACTAGCTTCGATAATTTTCGGACGCCTAACTAAGACTCGTGAACTGCAAACACGTGAAAATCAGGCTGGCTTCAGACCTGGTCGTGGTTGCATCGACCACATATTCACCATTCGTCAGGTTCTAGAACACAGGCATACTTATCGGCGTCCGACAATGGTGGTATTCCTTGACTTAAAAGCAGCGTTTGACTCTGTTGACCGAGAGGTTCTGTGGCAGTGTCTGTCATTGAAAGGCGTACCTCAGAAGTACATAAACCTTGTGAAGGCTCTTTACTCGAACACTACTAGTCGGGTCAGAGCCTATGGCGAACTGTCATCTGCTTTTGCAACCTCAAGTGACATCCGTCAAGGCTGTCCACTTTCTCCTTTTTTGTTTAACTTCATCATAGATCTACTGATGGAAATAACGCTCTCATCGACTGACTTCTCGGGTATTGATCTCCTACCAGGAGGTCCACTTATTGACTTAGAATACGCAGATGACATAGTCCTGTTTGGTGAAGACGCTGATGAAATGCAGAGTCTTTTGGTAGCACTGAGCAACAATGCTAGAATGTTTGGGATGCGCTTTTCTCCCTCTAAATGCAAGTTGTTGCTTCAGGACTGGTCTGCATCAACACCTGAACTAAGGATAGGGGGTGAAGTAGTCGAACGCATTGACAACTTCACTTATCTTGGAAGTCTGATCAGCCCTAATGGGTTGGTGTCTGACGAAATCTCAGCACGGATTCGAAAAGCTCGCTTGGCCTTTGCCAACTTACGTCATCTATGGCGAAGGCGAGATATCCGTCTATCAATTAAGGGACGAGTTTACTGCGCGGCAGTTCGTTCCGTTCTACTATACGGCTGCGAAACATGGCCATTAAGAGTAGAAGATACTCGTAAGCTACAAGTATTTGACCATAGATGCCTTAGAAATATTGCTCGCATCTGTTGAGATCACAGGATGAGCAATAGTGAGGTTAGACACAGGGTATTAGGAAATGGTAGTAAATCAGTTGATGAGGTTGTTAATCTTAATCGACTGGGATGGTTGGGCCACGTGTTGCGTATGCCTGAACACCGATTACCACGACGCGCAATGCTGACTAGTGCAGGGGATAATTGGAAGAAAGTTAGGGGCGGCCAAACCAAAACGTGGCATCAGTGCTTGAAGTCACTAACTTCTGGGCTGAGCCATGTTGGGAGATTCAGACTGCCTGGTTGGGGTCCGCGTGACTATCGTAACCAATGGTTGGAGACTCTTGGTGACATGGCTCAGAATCGATCACAATGGCGTCGGTGTATACACTCTCTGTCTTCCTTAAATTAAGAGATTAAAATCGCTTCATATCTGTCTAGGAACTAATTCTTTCTTCCTGTACTATCTCCTTATACACAATCTTTCTTCTATATATTACCACCACTGAATTAACTACTTCTATGAATCCGGTGTTGATCTTGTTGTGCTAATGCGGTATGGCAACTTGGACCGATGCATATACGTGCCTGGTCCTACGTTGCAGCTGACTGACTGACTGACTGAGTTCTTATAATTATTCGACGACAAATGTCTGCAAATCGTAGGTCGCATGATATCGAACCGCTGAGTGGGTAATTCGGAAGTGAAGTATAGCCTTGGATAAAAATGTGAAGTTTTATTAGGGCATAAACCTTAGTCAGCTCAGTATAAGCTGATTATCATTCTTTACTTATCATTATATTGGCCATATCATACGTGCTAAATACATTAGGAATGCTTAAATTTCTCAATTTGATATACTATTATGTACGTACTGATACGTGGTTAGCTTCATACACCATTATTTGCAGTTTTGGTTTGGGCAGTCAAGAAGTTTCATTAGGCTTCACACTTAGTGTTGTTCATACCCAAGAACCTGGTAGACGAGTTAGTTCAACTTCAGTCAATTAATTTTTCATTTACAAATAACTGATTTGGCAAGATTTTAATCCTCTCAATTTCTTCAAAACTTGTGAAAAACTGTTTGGTACATATTATGCTGTGACCGACGAATTTTCTTTCTATTACTATTTTATGAATTGATTTCAAAAATTATTTTTCATATTCATTGACTAATTTGTCCGGTAATTTTAGACTGGTGCACGAAAATCTCCAATTGCTCAAAAGTTCACTGACGAATCTCGTGTACAAACAGTCAAAGACATTTTTGAATATGGTTTAAATAATTCGAGTAAGTTCGTCCATTCACACTAACTATTTGTTTATTGTTGTCTGTTCACGATAAACTTGGATTCGCGAAATAGATCTGGTTGAATAATCAACTGCTAAGTAGAACTTTGTTATTTGTTATTGTGTTTGTTGTTCTCGTTTATTTCAACCAGGTGGTTTACTTGTGAATTTTTGATTGTCTTTCGAGACAACGTCACCAGCATTTAATCCTAAAAGAAGTGACTTTTTAGAATCGGTTCACAAACAGCCAACAATTTATCGTAACTATTTTCCATGTGGTTATTGTATTTTCCATCATTTGATAGCTCAGGTGAATTTCACCATTCCCAATAATTCGTGAATGATTTGAGTACAAAGACTTCTAAAATTCCCCTGTTCCCTTTGTTGCTGCTAGTTGAAATTTGATGGGTTTATATGAGCGAATATGTTTCGAAAAACGATGATTGTTTAGACAAACTAAGATGAATACCATATTTTCTAGTATTATCTCATGAATTTTTTATACATGCTATCAAATGGTGCCTTAACTCATGTTAGTGTATTTATTGTAAGTTCCTACATTTTATTTGTTTGGTTCATTATATCTAGGGGTTGGAAAATAAAACGTTTTTCGGGATTCTGTGCTAAGTTGTGTCCCATGCTATCAGATAACGAAAACAAAACAAAATCAAAGCTTTAAACGTTTTCTGCTGTATTAAGTGGTGGGAATACATTTCCATGTATAAGATCGAAAAATCGTGAGGTTAAACCACAACTTGATTTGGACTTTCAATTATCTGGCATTTTTACTGTACACAAGATGTATAATTAATAGCTTTGTATATTCGGAATACTCCGGGAATTCAAGATAGATCTCAACAAAAAGTTCCAAGCTTTACAAGATCTCAAAAAAGAAGAAACTACTATGGAGGACAAATAGAAAAATATAAAATAAGCACTAGCCAGCACTTCTGTAATTGAGGAACATATGGAACTCAAAGCATCTGTCAACCAATATCAAAATCACAATTTTCAATACGAACGTCATGACAGTCCCACTGTACGGAGCTGAAACTTCGAGAACTATCACAACCATCATAAAAAAGTACAAAAGTATTTATAAACAGTTGTCTACGCAAGATACTCAACATCCATTGACAAGATATCATCAGAAACAGCCTTCTGTAGGAGAGGAAAAACCAGCTTCCAGCTGAAGAGGAAATTAGGAAAAGACGTTGGAAGTGGATAGGACACACATTGAGGTAATCATCAAACTGTATCACGAGGCAAGCGTCAACTTGGAATGCTGAAGGGAAACGGAAAAGAGGAAAACCGAAGAACTCACTGCGTTGATAATTGGGAGCGGACATGGAAAGCATGAATAGCAAATGGAAAGGATTGCACAGGACAAAGTTGGATAGAGAAATCTGGTGTGTGGCCTATGCTCCTTCACGTGGGGTAACAGGTCCAAGTAAGTAAGTATATTCTCAATACAAAGGAGTTGAATGTGACCAGATGGCGTGAAATGAGTATGTGATGCGTGTTCAAAATATATGACTAATAGGCATGAAATGCTCTTTATCGTAGCTGAATCAAGGCAGTATAAGTGCTTAACACTGGCAGCATTATGCTGTAGGCATAAATCATTGTTTTATTCTAGACTAGCTTCAGTGTAAGCTTTACAAAGTGTACTCACAAACTGAAAATTATTATTCCAATATATTTACAACGTCAAAAAGCTTAACTTCTTTAGGATTTTACTCTTTATTTAGAGCAGTGAAATCCTATAATTTTTTCCTATTGAAGTTTCTGACTGTTTGTTATGTTCTTCACTAAGAAGGCAGGGAAGGACATTATGTACTTTTTCTGTTATTGAACTATAAAATCCTGAATGTTGTTTTAGGGTGATTAAACAGTACTTTGTTGCTTGAAATACTGTTTATTTTATGGTCGCCACTGAAAATGAGGGTTATTTGTATTATCGTGAATTAAAACTGTTAACTCACGTGGTTTACTGGGTCAGCAGTTAATTTGTAATTTGTGAGTTTTTTTTTTCGCATGTTATCATGTATTAGGTTTACTGCACTTCTTGTGATCACAATAAAAAGCTTTGTAGATGTCTCTTATCGACTTATTAGTTTTTAATGCTCTATTTGAAACTCCTTCAAATACAGGGTCTAATCGGTGTCTGGGGAAACGACCGTCTTTCAATGATCCATACTCGTGGCTAACTTATGATGAAGTAAATAGTCCCAACTGAAGTGTATATTTTTTCAGGTTGATGAGCGAATAAGGGCTATCGGGTCGGCACTCTCAGAAATTGTGAAACTTAAACATGACTGTGAAAATTTTGTCGGGATTTATGCACCAAATTCACCAGAGGTAAATCTGAAAGTTATTCAATTTTGAAATACACATTACTTTGTGAATTAATTAATCGTTGAAGTGTTCTCAGTGTCTGTACCAATGAGATATGGTATGTAATTCGTTTATTTATTTATTTGAACACATAAATATTGGTAAAAGGGGCACTGAATACATACGCGCCACACAAGTAACTTGATTTATGTGTGGGCTGTGATACTGTCCTGGTGCCCAGACCGTGATCGTCAAAAGTGAGATATCCGATTGGTGAGACCTTATTGTTGCATCACAAGTCATGGATTATATTCCTTTAGATTACTTAAAGAATAAATATATCTAGTATACTTGTTCTACACATACGTTTTTTCATCGTTTTTCATCACTTACATACTTATGCCCGTTACTCCCAGCGGAGCATAGGCCGCCGACCAGCATTCTTCAACCCACTCTGTCCTGAACCTTCCTTTCCAGTTCTATCCAATTGTTGTTCGTTCTTCTCATGTCTGTCTCAATCTCTCGACGTAATGTGTTCTTTGGCTTTGAGGATTCAAAGTGGGGGCTTACCTTGTGACGCAGTTGGGTGCTTTCTTCAATGTATGTCCTATCCACTTCCAATGCTTCTTGATTTTTTCCTCCACTGGAATCTGGTATGTTCTGTTCCACAGTAGGTTGTTGCTGATAGTGTATGGCCAACGGATCTGAATTATTTTATGTAAACACCTGTAAATAAACACTTGTATCTTCTGGATGATGGCTTTCGTTGTCCTCCAAGTTTCCACCCCATACAGTAGAACTGTCTTGACATTTGTGTTGAAAATTCTGACTTTAGTGTTGGTTGACAGTTGTTTTGAGTTCTAGATGTTCTTCAATTGTAGATATGTTGCTCTTGCTTTGCCGATCCGCGCCTTCACATATGCATCAGATCTGCCGTTTTCATCAATGATGCTGCCCAGATATGTAAAGGTTTTTACATCCCCCAAAGCTTCACCGTCAAATGTGATTGGATTGGTGCATGTTGTGTTTTATCTTGATTTTCCCTTTATGTATGTTGAGACCTACTGCTGCTACACTGGTTACTGGTCGTCTTCTCCTGTATTTGTTGTTGCGTGTGAGATAGAACAGCCAGATCATTTGCGAAGTTTTACTCTTCAATTTTGATCGTTATGATAGTTACTGCTTACAAACACTTAAATGGTAAATAATATTTAGGTTAATGTACTCCTGTCTCCTTCCACCTCTTTTTTAACCGATGATATCCTAATTTTTGGTGTGGTATGATGGAATTCAGTAAGGAATCCGTACCCAAAACCATAGTCTTGACACCTCTATCTTCTTCTTGGCTAAAGAAAACCTTATAGATGATCTTACTAATTATTCCTCATTTTTACTTCTATTCACCTTCATCTCTTTTTGTTACTCGCATACTCTAATCGATTATTCACACACATCTCTGTTCAGTTTGATAAGTAATTAAAGGTGTGAGACATCAATAATGTGGGTCTAATCCTCCCCTCACCTTAATCAGGCGCTACCTATCTTATAAACAAATATGTTTGTTGAAGAAAACAACTTTTACCCAACAATCCATATATTTGCGTTATTCTATTTTATACCTATTCAATTATAATTATTACTAGTTGCACAGCTCATTAAACTCAACTATTTCTTCTACTATCCAGTGGGTTATTATGCAGCATGCATGTGCAGCATATTCTTATACCATAGTACCTTTGTATCCAACTCTCGGTGATGAAGCTTTGCAACATATTCTATCGCAAAGTGAGTTTGTTTTGGATATCATTTACCTAATTTTCACCTTTTTTTAGTATAGTATATTTTACTAAATAATTTGTCTGTATGTGACTGCGTTTTGCATTAAACGTATCGCATGATTAGTACGACAGTTAATCGAATTTCAGTGAAATTCGATATTTATCCATTGTATTTATGAAGGTATCTGTTTTAACTGGGTTCCATACATTTTTGTGGCTGTTTTCACTGTTGCTAGTAGTATCCAGAAATGCAAAACCGAATATATGATAAATTATTTCAAGTAAATACGTTAGTTTTAGGAGGGTGTAATACACTATCCTTAACAAAATGGTACTTTTTCAAATTACCTTACCGTAACAGATTTTCAATTGAAAATGTTGTAGTCAAGCTAAGAAAGATATAAAAAATCATAAATTTTTAATCAATCCTTATTCTACTTAAATTTTAGCGAAAATGAACTGCGTGCTGTGTGCTTCAGGACGTGAAGCTCTTCATTTAATGGACAAATTTGAATCTTCCCTTGAAATTTTAATTATTATTGCAAATGATTCTAAATTTGAAGAAGTTAAATCTCGTTATAGTTCGAAAGTTTCAATTTACTTGTTTGAAGAATTAATGGTAATTAGTACATACATGCCAATACATTTTTTACTCGTGCGAAAGAAAAGAATTTTCCAGACTAGTTAGTTACGAAATGGTGATACCTTCCATTGAACTATACATCTCTTATCATTTACCTGACTTTCTACACTCGATTTATTATGTATTTTTACTTAATTGCTTACGCCGGTCACCCCTCATGAAGAAGCATAGGCCTCCCACCTATAACCATTTTGTTGAAGGCACGTAAATTTACAAACCTCTCAACCATTCTCGTTTCTTTTTCCCAGTCACTCCATGTCGTCCCATGATATCTTTACACTCAGTGTTGTGCATTCTGACCTTGGCGTTTAGGTCTCCAATCACGATGGTCAGCTCCTTTCCCGGGTACTTCCCCACGATCGACTGCAGCCTCTCATAAAACACTATCATCTTCATTGCTATCATTGGTGGATGCATAACACTGGATAACATTGATTGTGATCCCTTCCTTTTTTTCGAGAGATGCTTTGAGGATATCCAATCCATGAGATTCCCATCCTACAAGTGATTTTCGTGCCTCATTGGACAACACCAGTGCAACGGTTGGGAGTTTTCGGGTGCATACATGTAATTATAAACCTCACCGTGTTCTTGACACTCATCATGGCAGAGTGAAACTATATATCAGTCTTTATTGCGACCCGTGATATGAAATGTAATATTCAATAATCGTTTGTCTAAAGTAATATACCCACCGCGTAGCCTGGAATTCCTGTATCTACTCCGAGGTAGTGAGTGGAAGTCTAGATCGCCCACCTCTGAGGAGTCTTGTACTGAAATGAAATAGCGTTTCATTACTCCATGGTCTTCAATGGTTGTCAACCTTAAGTCAATTTGTGATCTAAACTATTTACTATCTAAACAAACTTCATATATCCCTCATAAGGTATTATTTATTGCGGTTGGTATCATTGACATAGGACATGACACGATTGTGTTTCATTCCGAATGTTCACACTCCATATTAACACGGTGGGAGGAGACTGACAACAAAAAATCCGAGTGAAGTTTCAGCCATCAACAATAGTGGAAAACATATGGGAAAGAACAAAATTTGCCAGAACAGTTAGTTATGAGATAGTGATATATTCCATTAGGTTATAAAATCCCCACTTTCTGATTTTATAAGTTCCACACTAATATAGACCAGCTTGTAGTGTACTTTTTATGGTTTAATTTGAAGTTTAATAAACTGTCACCTTAATAAGTCCAAATAAATAAAATAAGTCAGTCTATGAAGCTTATACCTAAAGGTCTGATCCACAAGGCAGTGGTACAACGTCAGGAGATGTAGTCCCATGGTGACCGGTGACCAGTAATTGGTTCGTACGCCATTTTTTCCCGCAGGATCCTGAAGCCCATGTGCACCATTAGTTTGGAATCAGGGTCTTCCAACTCCTACAGGTGGGTCCTTCGTGCCCACCAACCCGGTTAAAGTGCCGGAAAATCGCTTCGTCCTCTCAATTTCGTAAACAATAGTAATGTCGCGAAAAAGCAGTGAGTAGAACTTCCCTGTCAGAGGTTGTATGCACATGGCCATAAGAGAGCCCTATCGGGGCGTTTGGGGGCTAGTCTAATATGCAGTGATTGGCTATTCTACTAAGACAACCTATAACATGCTAACTCGGACTTTTACACATGGATTGTGTGGCTGGCATCGGGTGGACAAAAGGAGAAGAAAGAAAAAATTGGACAATAAAAGATATAGTTATTAATATTCTTAAGACTTCACCCTATATATGAATACTGTATTCTAATAAACAGCTTTCCCTGTACCAACCTTAACTTTCCTTCCTTCATATGGACTTACTCCAACTTGTTAAGCATCACAACTCATTGTTCTTTAATCTAATTTATTGTACCTCTGTCTGTTCTACTACACAATCTTAAGCAACCTTTGTGGTTCATATTCAAGTGCCTTGCTACTCATCTGTTTCCCTTTTTTCTTTATTCAGAATCTTGCTCTGAATGTACAGCTATGGAACTTCTGACGTCTGGAACGAAAGTGACGTATGCGTCAACTCAAAGTCATGTTTTATAGCAAGCGCTCTACGAGTCTACTTTATAACAATTATAAACTTAATAAGTTGTGAAGCATGCTATGTTCCAACAAATGTTGTAATTTGCAGATCATGTCTGTAAAAATGGCGTGTACCTGCCCAAGCAGTAGTATATATTTATTACTACTTCGAGGTGCCTAGTCGGAGTCATATATAGGAAGCCCACTACAGACATCGAGTATGACAGTCGTATGCCGGAAAAACTATCCCGCTCCACGCTTCTCAGCTTCACTCATATCCTGATTCTAGGGGAATTTGATCTTCCTAGAGTCAATTTCGCGGCACATATGTATACTGGAGGTGAAAACTCAACTGAAGCTCGGTTCTTCAACCTCATTGAGGATTGGGGACTACATGAAAATGTGAAGTTGGCAACTCGTTGGAAAAACAGTCAGACACCGTCGAGCCTAGACTTTGTATTTACAAACGAAGAATTTCTAATTGAAAACCTCTCAATTCTGGCTCCCATAGGAAAAAGCGATCAAGCCGTTATAGCCTTCAGTTTTGTCAGCAAAACTGAGCTAAGATATCCCAACAACAACACGCGCTGGAATTTCAAACGGTTGAATACGTCAGCTCTACAGGACTATCTACAACAGGTGGATTGGGATGTTCACCCTCAACTTGATGTGGATGCCCATCGGGATTTCCCACTGCACACGCACTTATGTGCTACAAAGCAGTCAGTTCCTCAAACGTTCTCTAAAAGCTACAAGCAACCTACAATCATCAAGAAACACACTCTTCGTTTTTTAAGACGCAAAAAGCACTGTTGGGCAGATAACAAACGAGCCAACAACAACGGCGAGTACAGGCAATACAAACATACAGGGAACATATGCACGATGGCTATAAGAGAAGACAGGTTTCAGTACCGGATAATGCTTGTGGGTAAATTTGTCTCCGATACGAAAAGCTTATTCCGTCACGCAGCGTCTCTTTGTCGAGTCAAAACTGGAGTTTCCCAACTGCTAGGTCCTAACGGCCAGACCGACAACGACGGCGACGCAGCTAACCTTCTGACTGAGCAATACTCCCGGACATTTCAACCGTCCCACATTAACTATACTGATGATGGCTTCATTTGCAACTGCACAGGACTCTCCGTAGTGCAACTGAGCGCTGACTTTGCGTTCCGAATACCGCATCATCTAAGAACAGACACTTCTCCTGGTCCAGATATGGTCCATTCTGTTATAATGAGGGAAGCAGCTTCAATCCTGGCAACACCGCTTAGCGTGATGTTCTCATACTCGCTAAGTCGAGGCAAACTACCGGAAAATTGGAAGCTGGCTCATATCACACCAATCTTCAAAGGAGGTCGACGCAGCGAACCTCCAAGTTACCGACCGGTGGCTCTTCTCTCTATACCTTCGAAAATCATGTAGTCCATGCTATACGATGGTATACGCGACTACTTACTGTCCTTAAATTTCTTCTCACCCCAACAGCATGGTTTCAGGAAGGGTTACTCCTGTATGACCAACCCGATGACTGCGGTGGACAGATGGACAAGCATCGTTGTTCTCAAAAGGAAGGTTGATATCATTTACCTTGATTTCTCTAGAGCTTTTGATAGGGTTAACCATATATGTCTTATTAACAAGCTCAAACAATTGGGTATCAAACCACCTTTAATTAACTGGCTCAGTTCATACCTGACAAATCAACATTTTAAGGTCAGGGTAAAATACAATTTATCACAGGCTATGGAATGTCCTAGTGGGGTCCCCCAGGGCTCAGTACTAGGACCTCTTCTCTTCCCGATTTATATAAATGATCTTCCTCAACAGGTATCGTCAGACTTATTAATTTTTGCTGATGACGTGAAACTTTGGAGAGAGATACGCAACCACGATTATATACAGGCACTTCAGGAGGACCTGACTCGACTTCAAAGTTGGGCAGACGACAACGGACTTACCTTAACCACTTCAAAGTGTAAGGTAGTCCATCTGCGACACGTCGCAGATTACGGTTACAACTTAGGAAACTCCTTTCTAGTAGTATCCCGAGTCGAAAAACATTTAGGAGTTCTGGTGCCTTACGACTCAAAGTCTTACGCCAACTGTGACAGAAATGCCTTTCGAGCAAACTTTGCACTGGTAACATTGAAGCGCATTTTTGGTCAGTTTGACCGGAAAACTGTCCACATAATCTTCAATAGTTTCATTCGTCCCCATTTAGAGTATGGAAACATAGTATTCCCTCCTACACTCCAAAAGGATAAGGACACTCTGGAGTGTATTCAACGGCAAGCCACGGAATTATTTCGGGGACTCAAATTTAAACCTTACGATGAGCGCCTCCAATCACTCGATCTATACCCATTAGAGTATAGGCTTCTTAGAGGTGACCATTTAATGGCTTACAGTATCCTTAACACTCCTGGACATCCTCTTAAACGCCTACTTAAGCTTAGTCCCAACACTAACTTATGGGATAACACCCGGAAGTTAGAGATACAACATAGTAGAACGGACTGCAGACACAACTTCTACTTCTTAAGAGTTGTCAAATGCTGGAATTCACCGCCAGCTGAGCTAGTCCAAGCAAATTCCCAGGAGTCCTTTAAGAGGCGACTTGATCTATTCTTAGGGACTAAGGATAGCACCTCACTATGATTTACCAATTCATTTTTTTCTTTTTATCGTTAACATACGTAGGTTCTTGCTGTAGGTATTGGTGATCCCCTGCTACTAGACACGTAAGCCATTTAAGCGAAAGCTTCTTCCATTCCGTCCGCAACCATTTGAACCGTTTGAACGTTCACTGAATAAAATAAATTGTTTATTGGTCGAAGTAGGTTTTAAGATGGACGTTTGTAACAGCGTCAAAATCATTAAGTATATTGTGTTAATGGATTCTGTTTTTCCTTCTATTGCAGGGCGATCGAGAGTAAATGCTATAGAAGAGAAAGAACAAGCCTTGTATGCACTGAGCCTGCAGGATGACGCATAAGACTGTACATTCCCGCGAATTTTAATTTTCGAAATAATAAATCACGGCAACGCTCCAGGGGTATCGCGACACTTTTTGCGCTACTTCTTCATTTCTGCTTTGTGCACACCCAAAATTTGAAATTTGTTATGATTGAATTTGAAAAATCATTTTCCATCTTCATGATTAAGTGAAAAGGGGATTTTTCATTTTGCGGTACATGGTATCGCGATGTCCTTGAAAATTCATTAATCAGGTGCTGCTATAATAGTTTTTTCATATTTGCATCGCAGACTGGCGATTATTTCTACTTAACTATACACTCAGAGCAGAGAAATCGTTTATTTTTATATGAAATGATATTATCTAAGCATATATTGTCATAAAAATTGTATTGTCGTCAAGGCTACCAAAACTGCGCTACAACTAACGATACCATGATAACATTTATCGTTTTTCCCTTCTCTATTACAATTTTGGCTGATTTTCACTGTTTTGTTCGACTTTTATGAAAGATATAGGCTAATAGTGAAAACATTAGCTGTTCTTAGTGTTGCCAATATTATATATATGCTGTAGATGGTTATAACACATACCAATATGTTAATATCACCTTCTACAGTTAGATATATAAGCTACCAAATCATTATATTGCAGGAAATAAATCATAATCATGCGAGAGAGCTACAATTATGTGGAGATTTTACTAGAGAGTAAGCTAAGATTGCTCTATAAAGCTAATTAGCTTAGAGTTAGTATATTATCTCTTGAACAGAGTTCCAATGTTCAGGCTGCCGGTATCCTTGCAAAGATAGCCAATAGCAGAAATAAGTACGATTGGGTAATCAAGATATCTTGATCTCAGGTGACCAGATTGTGTGAGATCGTATATCCCTGCGACGGAAGCGAATCATAGATATGTTCCCATGTTCACTTAGTACTTTAACTTCAGTGTCTGCTTGAACACGTTGTAAAATGTTATTGAGATTTTTAATGTCTAAGCTCAATTAATTACAATGTGATTTCAACAACTTGGGTACCACTGTAAACGCATTTTAGATTTGGGTCATCATTGTTCTTTTTACATACTGACATAACGTACCTAGTATACGTATACTACAAAAATAATCATTAACCACAGAAGTCATAGTACCTTATGTACTTCTTTCAAACAGGTCTCAAAATTGTCCCAACTTGTAAATCTCCGAGATAACATAATATCATTGAAGATTCGTCCTATATCATGCATCATCACGATGACATCATCTTCGTTACTTGAAGGATGAACGTTATCAGACATGGTGTAGTTGAACTCAATTCAAATCTAAAAACGTCTTGATTTGACCGCCTCTGAAAAACTTCACGAGTTGTCGATGTATGCACCAATCATCTTGAGACAGTTTGACCTTCAAGTGCTCGCAACCCCCATCAGTGGACGATACCCCTGAAGTGTTGCCATAAATCACTGGTGGTTCCATTCCGTGTTCTCCCCGTGTTGTGAAGTGCTCAGTTAACCTTGTGGGTTTGTGGTTTAGATCTGTCAGCTCGCTCCAGTGACTGCTGAATACACGAGTTACACGTTACCTCATTAAGAACCCACATATTTGTTAACACAGAAAGCTAAGTATCATATAGACTGGGAGCACGAACAAATCTGCCTGTAATTTACACTTACAATAAGAGTTCATATGTCATTTCCCTAATTTCTGTGTTTGTCTGTAATCAGGTAAGCTTACTCGTAGGAATTGTGTCCCATTTTGTTTAGATTCATGGTGTTATTAACTAGAGCTTTTGAGTTTGGCTCAATCGTATTTGACTGTTCACGGTTGCTGAGTGTTTCAGCCTATAAGAAATGATGTAAGCCATTTTGTGATAGGGACAGATAGACAGTTTAACTCGTATAATCTTCAAAATATTAGCCTCTATAATCATCCTGAGCCTGTGTAGGATCCATAATAAGTAAACCTGATGACATTGGTCTAGTTTCAAACATGTGCTTAAATGTATTGAGTTCATGTTTAAACATTGACAAGTTCTAAAACATAGGGATACCTGATTGTCGCTCTATTTATTGACTTCAGTAGCATTTGATTGTTGATTAAGAGATTTTGTGACTGTGTTTTACACTGAAAAGTGCACTAAGAAGTGCAAACGTTTTTTAGATTGTTTACTCAAACACTAACTGGTCTGCAAGAGGAGATTATACTCACAGAGGCTTACTAAAAGAGGATTAACATAGACCGTATGTCTTCTGTGCTTACTACATAAATTTGAGTATGAAAGGATCAGAACATAAAACAAACTGGCATTGTAATTGTGATTACCATATAGATTGTGTCCACTGCTCTCTTTTTTATGTAGTTTTCTTGTCTTTCTGGAGATCATGAGTTCCTTAAAACTTTCTAGCGGACTAAGATGATCTCATTTTTTGAAAACTCTAACATAATACAGTCTCCTGAGGCTGACTGATATGGCTCAGGATTGTTCACAATAGTGCAGATCTATTCACTTTTTGCTTTCCTGTCAATCGTCAGTTCATTCATTTGCACCTTTTTACCCTATCTTTTTAAACCTGATTCTTGCTGCCTACTCTTTCTCATGATTATCGCTACTACACTATACCGAACATGTTTGCTCTTCATCTTGTTAATTTCATCTCATGGCAATATGGTCCAATACACATGTTTCCTAAACCCTATGTTAGACAAGGATTAATTCCGAAGGAATTAAAGTGGGTATGACTATTGAGTGGCTCCGTCTGTAAGTAAGCTCATTTTTAAGTTGTTGATATAAACCAGCACTTGTTTTGTCAGTTCACTTAATATTTAAAAGTAGTCATTTCGCATAATCTAATTCTCTAGTTCTAAGTACTTATTGAATTTCACTTCCTATTTTCTTATCAGGTGTAATTTCAAAGACCATGGCTAGTATGTTTGTTACAAGGGTGATTACGAGAGTTCCCAAGGTTCCAATTCTTAGTAAGCTTGCATTAAAACTACTTTTTATTTCGTCCATACTTCAGTGCCTTGTAGGTTTTCCCGGCGCAGACTACCAACTGAATACAGAAAGCAGTATTTAGAAAAAATAAGTAATGGGGCTCTAGATAAATACCAAAAATCGAACTTTGTTGCGTATCCTGCCCTAAAAACACAAAGGTTATGGGAAGTCCAACCACAAGAACCAGAAAAGGAGACGAAGTATGTCATATAGTTTGCATCGATCCTGTTAAAATATTCAGTAGCGATATCAAATATCGGTCAGAAATCATTTAGGACATTTAAAACATATATGAATCGGTCCAAATTGCCACTCCATCAGCACAACAAGATGGACAGCGAATTCATAGACGTAGTTGCTTCAATGGTAGTAATATATAAAAGAAAGATTGTTTATAAGGATATAATACAGGAAGAAAGAATTAGGTGACCAGGCCCGAAGAAAATCATCAAGAAGACGACAGTCCCTCAACGATTTTAGTTAAACCCAAGGATCAGGACTTACTTATCAGGAGGGAAAAGTTATATGAAGAGCCAATCAGAAGTGACATAAATGTCAGGTGCATTTCATTGGGGTCAATGGGTCGATTTTCTTAGAATAGGGCGGTATATATATATATATATAGCGCATCTCACTCGGTAGTCCAATATACTTTCTCGCTCAAGTAGTCGTTTGGGGTGTTAGCGCATAGTATGCCGTGTATCAGTACCAGATTTCGGATACAGCACGTCACAACACATGTGCTACTGAAATTTTAACCTAAGTTGATTGTTCTGCTAACTAGTACGCATGTCATGTGGCGGTAGTTTTTATCGTGCTACATGGTTGTAAAGCATGATTATTGACAATGGGAAACACTACTAATATTCGAACATATCAAAAGTTTTAGTTTGTAAGTAGAATAACCAGTGGTAAATGTTGATGTTAAACTTAGAGCTCTAGGTAATTTCACTAATCTGGTTGTTAATCTTTAACTGACAAAAATTTGGATCTTAACTATGTGTACCGAGTCGCCCGAAAATTGATGGCAAATCAATAAAAATAAGGGTTTTTAGATCAGAACATGGGATTGCCCAACGTAGTAGTAATTTGGTGAACAAGAATTAAGCTTACTATTGAGTGACCTACAAAATTCATGTCTACCAATCGCTCAGGTTTCTGTAAGTAAACATGCTATTTTACTTGGGAAAAAGGCCTACACTTTTGAATAATCATACTGTCTCTTGATGTCAGTTCAGTTAAAACTTCATGAGTAGTTACCAGTTCTCTACATTGTGATATTGTAAATCATCCGTGCATCAGCGTTGTATTGTATTGAAAACCCAAAATATGCTAACTTGACAATACTCAAAGCTGTACTTCCTAAAAAGGTAGCTAATTTTGTTTCAAAATTGTTGGAGAGTATGGACTTGTTGTTTGCTCAAAATATTAAAGCCCAGTAATTACTCTTTGTGATACTACTCGAAATCTATAAAATTGTCCCAAATGGATTTAATCTCCATCCTTCTTTGAGCGAATCACTTCGTATGTACCTCTCGTCTATTCACTCATATCATTCTTTTCGTTGACTTGAACATTTTACTTTAACCAAATTTATCACCTCGACCCATCAAGACTTACGGTCATTTTTGTGCGATCTCACGTCGGACTCTGTGTATAGAAGGCTCTTTTTATTAAATAGTAGCTGGCTTGAATAATTTTGCTTTCACAATTTGAACTTAAATTCGCATGTTCTAATTTTTAAAGCTAACCAGTGGTTTCAAAGATTGGCGCATGCTCACCTTTACTGTTTTATTTTATATTTGAGGCTACATTGTTGTTCAGTTACAATAGTTTTATTTCCTCACATTTGTTTAGACGCCTGTATCAAGAACTCTTACCACAATTTATTGATCCAAGATATCGCGATCGTCTACGTGAACGTCTTGAGCGTCATGAAATGATGCTACGTCGCCGAAATTTAGATATACCAGAGTTTTATGTGGGTATGTTTGCTTGTTTTTTGTCATGCATCCAATCATATTATAGGTAATAGGACTTGATAAATTGCATAAATATTCTTAGCACTAACAACCATAAAACAATAAATGAAAAGCAACGTCCTTTTTTACTCAGTACAGAGATACAAATTCAGTCCTATCCACAAGGTTTACTAGATCTTTCAAGGGAAAGTGCTTAGATCTATATTCATTGTGTATAATTTTTTAACAACCGTCTTCAAGAATAAGACAGTAACTGGCTTTATTGGAATATTAACAAGCGGAAAATGCATTCGCAAGCGCTCAGTGTAGATATTAAGAAAATAATAAAATATGAACAAAATAAAATCGATTATGAAGTACTGAATACTTAAAGTCGTTTCCATGAACCTAAATATTTCTAGCAATAAACTTCATACATTCATGCGGCAATATCAAACTAAACTAAAAGTAAATATTAAAGGAATTCCTAAAATGCAGGTTCTTAAGCCGAGCCAACGCAGTAAGTATTCTACCGAATTTTTGATAAGTCAGGTGCAGATTTTGTTTGATCCAATAGTTTCTAGGCAATGTTATCAATTATTCACGTTACTTATGAATTGTTATACCATGTATCATTCACTTCTGTAAATAGAATAAAATGTGTTTTAGGTTTGATGGATTTCAATGTTTTTATACCAATAATGTAATTTAAATGTTTTATATAGAGTATATTTACACACCTGTCTCCATGTTAATACGGAGAATTGTTTTAACCGCTTGGCTGGATCCATATACCACTCAATCACTATTTCTATTATAGGATTAACCCAATCTGATTTATCATCTGTAGTTCAAGAATAAACCTAACCCTTTCGCTAAAGAACCATCTATACAACACCATCCTGATGAGTTTCTTGATATACAATATTCTGATTTGCCAGTATGGGAGCCATACGAAAATGTTTTATATTCTCAACGTCTTAATTAGTTTCTATTATTTTCGTAGCTCATTGACCTGTAGGTGTGTCGCTCAGTAGTTTAATCTCTTTACTTCCAATCATAAAGCCATAGACTTGACTTTCGATTCATTTAAAATATTTTGGGTGACTGGTTTTACCACTAAATCACACAGCGGACCTACAGGATTGCCTTTTACATAAATCGGTGTTTTTTTAGATGTGTCGATTTTTAATGATCTCAGTAAATTATTCTGGAAAAGTAATCAGGAATTTTTAGATAATACAGAATTTCGAAATAGGTTTTGTTGTACGAACTGTTCTTATTTACTAGTGTTTTAATGAAATCAACGTTGTTTGTAATTGTCATTGTATCTTATGTTTCATAAAGAACACATCCATGATTTGTAGTCCTGTTGATCTGTACCAGGTAATTATAAAATCGTTTGTCTCTAATGTTTCAGACCGTGAGTGTACGATTAAAAGTGATTGTTGTGTCCCTACGTGTAAGATTTAATTAAGGTTCATGTTGATGGATTGTGAAGTATTTACACAATGATTAGATTCGTTTACGACCTACTAATTTATACACTTAAATATACTAACCACAACAAAAAGGTTACAAATAAACTAATAGGACTGTTGAGTTGGGAAACTGAATTTTTTGTTTAACCAACTTTCCATTTTGAGTGGTAAAAACATAATATTATTTAATGAATCGAAAACAGTATTATAAATATGGCTACAAAACAATACTTTAATCATGTATATAAATGTAGTTTGTCTAAACTGTACGAAATAATTCAGTACTAGCTTATTCAACTTACCCGTTAGCCTATTTCTTGACCTTTTGTTAGCGAGACATAGATTGGATTTAAGCATGCTCAATGCACGATTGCTTTGGCGCACGCTGATTGGCTGATTCTTATCCAATCAGCGCTAGTCGATACATGGAGAAGACTCTGGATTCTTCTTATGTAAAAACTATAAATATACTAACGGTTTTCCTTTTTTGCTTCTCACTTCCATGTAACCTTGTTATTTGGAATACAATCTCTTTCCTGTTCAACCGTGTTCTGATTTGGGGACTTGTCGAGTGAATTGGTGTCCGTGAATACTAAGCAATAGAAATAGCTGGGTTAAAACCGTAAGAGCGAGAGAATTATAACACATTTTTTCCAGCTTCATGCATAATTTCAATTTTTTTAAATGTTCAGTTTCAGTATTTTCCTTATATATGTTGTTCTGTAGGGTCTGTTGTTGCTGTAAAAACTGCTGATAAATTTGCGCCAAATCAATCACATCGATTCTTGGGTATTTGTATAGAACGCTTTAACGAAGGTCTATGGACAAAATTTACTCTTCGAAACGTGATTGAGAAAACAGGTTTGTTATTCCTTAAAACGAATCCTTTATTTGTATTTCCCATAGTTGGTTTGTAACAATGGGTATGTAGATAGCTACAATCTCGCTTAATCTAAAAAAATATGCCTTCATTACTTCCACGTGATCACATATCTTGTACTCTGTAAGCAACTCATGTCTTGTGTTTTTTCCTGTGTTCTTTTATTTTAATAATGGATACGTCACTAAGTGATATCACAGCAAAGAATAATGCTACAACCATTCTTATCCAGTGACTGTAAAACTTAATTCATATAGCTGTCATTCCGAAAAGATATTTTAGTCATTAATATATGCTCTTACATTATTATAATCAGTACTTATAAACACTGTTAACCTGAGATTGTGGAGAAGATTCGTAGCTCAGTTGAATGATTTTGACGGCGTTTTGTTTTCTGATCTGGATGGTTTGGTCATGGAGCTTTCATCGTTCTTCTGAACGACATCATCAGCACAAACTTCAGATAGAAGTCTGTTAACCTGAAACCCACTGCCGATTGTGTATGGTTCTTTTTTGACAATTCGTTTTATATTTTCCCCTAATAATACCAGCTATATCACATATTTAGTAAATTTGATAACTTGAGATTTCAGTGAATCCTATTCGTTCGTACACATTTAACTAATAATCAAACCACTTTCTCATTATCCACTGTTTTAGCTATTGAAATTCAATATGAATTATATAATCCAACTATTCAGTCAATTGAAGTATTATTACTAGAGAAACGTTTAGATCGTAACCTTTTGTATTTACGTGATGCTCCACTGGATGAAAGTCGATTTCCATTTGATATGTCGCGTATTCCATATAATCCTTCTGATCCTGTCCCAATTAATGATAAGAAAGTATGTTTCTATCATAACAACATCAGGAAATTTTATTTATTAGTAGTAATATCTTGTTACTTAAGTTATTTGTTTGTTGCAGTTGTTATTCATTTTAAGAAAACATGTTAGATAGTATACTTATAACCTTTATGATTAGTAAATGTGACTTGGTGATATATGTCTTTTACCATATCATCATAAAAAAGTAGAAGTCACTTAATTTTACCAATAGACATTCGTTTGATTCTCCTAATCAAAGCAGATTACTCTGTTCTGTTTGATGTTATATAAACTGAACTCGATTTGCAATGAAACTAAAAATTAAACGTTATACCCATAGTTTTTCCATATGTATTTGCTAATTTTGAACAGGATATCAATCTAAATTATTTCGTTTTCGGCAATATGTTATGTAGGAAAAATGTTAAGCTATTTATTGCAGTACGATCAATTATCGGAATATATGTAGAATGTACAACTGACAATTATTTACGAAAATAAAGTTATAGATACAAGTTTCCTCTAGGTGAACTGATGCCAAAAGACAAAGGAATTGATCAGTGAAATAGGTTTTTTTCACTCCTCAAGATAAAAGGCTTTTATAGAAAGTTCGCAAGCGGAAGTCACATTATAAAACTTACAAACAGTATAACCCATAGTTATACATTGATATCTAAAAGTCACTTTACATCCAGTAAATTTAATAGTTCTAATATCAGTCATTCATATTTCTATTATAATATTTGTAATCAATAAATGAAATAAATCAGGGATAAATATCGCTTAATCACTTAATTTAAGCGTTTATAGTAAATCAAAATTTCATTTTTACTGCCCACATTCAAATAGAAGATCTAGAAAAAATTTCATCTTACAGAGTTATTTATAATAATGATAATAATAATTATTATTAGTATTAGCATTTTTAGTATTGGTATTATCAGTATTAGCATTAGTATTAGTATTATTAGTATTAGCATTAGTATTATTATTATTGATATTAGTATCAGTGTTATTATTATTATTAGTATTAGTATTATTGCTACTAGTATTAGCATTAGCATTATTATTATTATTAAACACTTCCGTATATCCATGCATGAATTTAGTTATTTTCTGAATCTTTTAACATTTTACTGTTACATTCAAAAGTCTTTTCACTTTACAGGGGATTCCTTTTCTAATGATGTTAGGATTCTTCAAGTAAAACATTATTAATAATATATTCATTTGCAGAATCTTTAGTTGTCCCACTTGTATCAACGAAGTTTGGTTGATTTCTTCAAAGCGTTACTCGTGTATTTTGAGACTACTGGGTAAGCAATGTTTGGGTTAAGAATAGAGTACTAAGTGGAGATAGCAAATCGACTGTTGAGGTAGTAAATTTCCATCAACTGATGTGGTTGAGACATGTGTGTGTTTGTATGTATGTATGTCCGCCCACCACCTATATCAGTTGTTGTCAGGTATAGGAGTAAGTTCAAAGAAAACTGGGGGCGGACAAACCAGGATATGGCGTCAGTCCATTAAAGTATTGACTGTCATTCTGAGCCATGTTAGCAGGTGTCGACTATCTGGTTGGTGTCAGTGCAATGGTTGCAACAGATGGTTTAATACATTTAGTGATATGGATTAGAATCGATCTCTGGTATAAATGCTTTCACTCTGTCTTGTGTTAGATCCTGCTTTTCAAAATCTTATACTGTTTTTCTTTTTTTTACAGCTGATCCTGTTACTCCTAGTGCTCTAGGATTTAGCTTGATAATTTTTATCTCACTGTCCTAATATGATGTGGAAACGTGGACCAATGTACACACGTGCCACGTTCTACGTTGTATACGATTGACTGACTGTATTTTTATCATGCACCTCTTTTTGGTGGTAACTCATTGATTTACATTCATCTGAACTACGGTCACGTATTCCACCTTACTAATGTAATTTCGAAACATTGTGAAACGTTATCTACAGTCAAAACATAGATCTACCATACCAAACATTAAATTGGTTTTCATGTCCCACTTAAAAAGTTTTTTCTATATTTGCTACAAAAAAAGTAATGTTATTAGTTTATAAACTAAAGTTGTTGACTACTGATCGTTACTAATGTCATCATTATTTAAGTTAAAGCTGTCCCTATTTTTATGTTTTAAAATCTGTGTAACTGATATTTTATTTACCGTAGGTAAAACTGCTTCCACCACCATGGGCCTTCAAATGGTATTTACATGGTTACCGTGGAATACATGACACCATGTATGATTATTTGACCCCACAACAGTTATCTGAAATTCAAGACAAAATAAATCTTGTCGATCGATATGATTTGATGAAAATGTATAGGTAAGTTTTTACTAATTTTAGTGTTCTATTATTAAGTTTATATTTATGTGAGTTCTTTGTTAGTATGTGCTGTCATTCTTCTTTTGCACACTGTCAGTCATTCATCACAAAGAACAGCGAACATATGACTTCGGTTCGATAGTCTTTATACTTCAGTCGGTCAGCGACAATGTAGGACGTAGCATAAATGGTTTATATTAGTCCATATTACTACACATCACACAGATATAATGAAAAGGAAATTAAAAAGGTGAAAGCGAAGGAGTTGAAACAGTAAAATTGATCTTAGTAGACAACTAAACATGAACTGCTTCGAACAAATGTCTTCCGGAAGTGGAAAATGACCCTAAGTTCGCGATTTAGAATGATATAGGTAATTTGTGGAATTACATAACAAAAACTGACACTTCACTGTCATCTATTAGGTTAGACACTTGTGTTAGTTTGGCTTGCTTCGGTTCGGATAACTGGGTAGTTTTCCTGTTAAAAAAAGTAATGGCATCGTTATCTGCTTCTCACTGTAAGTGAAACCCACCAACTAAGTTTCATTTCATTGAGATCATGAACCAGTCAATGTCGAACCACCATTGAAAATCTGGAAACACTGGATGGCCGTTTCGTCCTAGTATGAGGCTCCTCACCAGTGCGCACCCATGACTCCAGACGTGGGACTCGAACCCAGGACTTTCGGTATTTTCAGTAATTATCGTCGTTTCGTTTTATTTGTGTGTGAGCTGTGATACTATCCAGACCGAAGCAGGTGGTTTACTTGAAGGGCCGCTCCCCAGAGCATTCGACCTAAACGTCTGGTCCACAAGGCAGTGGATCAACGACAGGAGATTCAGTCGCAGGTAACCTGTGACCAATAAATGGTTCGTACGCCGTTTGTTCCTTCAGAGTACTGGAGCCCATGTGCACCATTAGTTTGGGATTAGGGTTTTTCAACCCTCCTAGGTGGACTCTCCGTGTCTACCAAACCCTGTAAAAGCACTGGACACTCGCTTTTCGTCCTCTCAATTTCGTAAACAACCGTAATGCCACGAGAAGGCAGTGAATAGAACTTCCTTGACAGTGGTTTGTGCACGTAGTCATGTAAGAATATTTCGAGAGAAAAACTGACTCTCCCCACTCGGCCGTATCAGGGCATTTGGGGGCAAAAGCAGGATATAAACCTGCACGGGGAAACACGATAGGATATCGAGTCTATTGTAGTAGTAATTCAGTACAAAAAGGTGAATGGCAAAGTAGTTGAAATAATTGTCTTGTATTTTTCTTTCACAATGTAGTTTTTTTGACAGTGTACTAAGAAACTTGATTAAGTACTTATAAATGTAATGGTGTCCAAAGAGTTTGATTTAGTTAACTCTACGGAATTAATAACAATAATAATTTATTCTCAAATAACAGTTCGTTACATGAGGCATGCCAGTTTACAGGCAAGATCAAATTGTTACGAAAGGCTATTTCCTTTATCAAATAAACATAAGTTGTTTAGCACATGTTTTGACTTTTTTGTACATTACAGATCACGATTGTGCTTAGAAGAAGAACAAATAGCTTTAGGTGATGTTCAAATTCAACATCAAGATCTTATACGTCATCATGAACAACGTCGACAAGGGTTAATGGACAAACATAAAGAAACCCAAAGGACTGATAAAGCTACTTCTTATGGTGGTTGTTAATATATTTCACACTCTTGCTGTGAGACTGCAACATATTCCTCTGACGTTTTCTTTAAGTTAAGTTGTAAATATTACATAGTGTCATTCAAATAAACTTGTACATCAAAGCTGATTGAAATTCACTTTACATTCAACGTAGTTGGTCCATGATCATCCCGACATTAGATATATATGTATTAAGTCTTTACAATTGATTGATCACTTGTTAGTGACGGATATTATATGTGTCAGGTCTTTCTTAGTGTAGATCGGATTCTAACGACCGAGTTGCTATGTGGCCACTAGTCTAAGTGACTTGACATTGCGTGCGCTATATATGTTAAGATGAGGTGTTGGTCGAAGGTGGTGATATGTCTTGCTAATTGAGTGCTATGATTTGTTTTCTAATCTCTTCTAATAACTCACAGGCTAGAAATACACAACGACTTGAACGCGAGAAAAAAGGCGCAAAGTATGTAGGAGAACACTTTACTCCAAAGGTTCGTTTATGTACAGAAAATATAGAGTATTTTAGATGTCCATAAGTTTCCAGAAAATTCTGGATTGCTACTTAACATAGTAGCAGTATAGTAATCATCCAATCAGAAACTACATGTAAGTTTTCACTTTCTTGATGTTTCTGGCAAAAGTCACAGTGAATACTGATTGGATAGGATGCTTCTCAATGCTTCCAGAGCCTTTCTCTGCTTCTTTCGAGGGGTTTTCTGGATCTCCCCGGTTCCTAATGTATGGCTTGACGAGCACATTATCACCGACGTTAGAACTCCGGATATTGTGATTTTCTCTGCGTCCATCCATTGGGTTAGGTGGTGAAGCGATAAATGATTCCCCAAAATAAATAGCTCTGTAAGTCTTCGACATTTGATGCTGACCAAATTATTTTTAATGGACTCACTTAGCTGAGTGCGCTAGGTCATGCATCCGCACTAGATCACGAGTGGGAACGCCGTGCTCAACATCCCCTACAATCGCTAACCAGTCGATCATCGATATATTGATAGCTTATCAAATATACCTTCGAACCTCCTCGCTTCTGACTTTTGATTTCACTTGGTGGGTGCGATTCATAGCAGTGAATTGTTAGCCGTTATCGGTCACTAAAGTCTCCGGAACTCCAAAGCAGCTAAACAGTTCGGATAACTAGCTGATTTTAAAGCAATTAGTGCCTTTTATAAATTTCGATAGAACAATGAGAAGACTGAGTTGATCTGAAAAATGTGATGTATTTGCGCTATACATTTCGAACAATCGGGTCACACATATACTTGTCAAGGCATTTTATATGAAAATCAATAAAGGTCAATTACATGAAAGTTCAAGTACAAAAAAAGTAACAAAGGGGAGAGAAAGAATAGGAAATTGTCGCGTTATCCTAGGCCATAGAATGACTTAAGGATTACCAAGGTAAATTCAAGGTTGCGACAAATTGTTTTCGTACACATAAGGGGGGTTTAAATTTACGAATGACTCCCCTTATCTAAGATCTAGGTATTACGACGATAAGCTGACGGTCTTGTTGAGAGTTCGCTCGATTACTCCTGCATTCACGGAAAATTGACTGACTTTAGAGACTCATTGATCACACTGGTTTGAGTAAGTGCCCTACCAAAGACTGCTTTTGAAAACCTTGTAGTGACCTACTTTTGTCAACAGAACACGATTGGTTTGATGAAAACAATTATTATTATAACCAATTGTACCAGTGACTGTATTACTGTGCTCGTTTGTTTAACTGTGCTAATAACAGCCATTTTGGGCTTCCATTGTATTCCATTGCTTTTACGCGGCTTTTGACTACGCACGTATCTTATCTTGCCGATCGCAACTGTACTCCTTTGGCACGATCTCGGTATTCTTTCGATACCACGAGATCGCCAACAAATATATACGACTACTACAATCATTTGCCTTCTGATATTTTGGCCTATCGGAATTTTATTGGTCTATTGGAAAGTAGTCTGGTAGCGGTGTTCATAGTTCAGCTCAACTCGACACCAAGCTACATTTGGTGAGCCAAATCTTGGAACACGTTTCAACCTCGGTCAAATCTTTCAAAGAAGGCAATTCGGTGAGTCTATTGTTTATCTATCCACGTCTGTCGTATATTTTCATATTAATTTTTAATATATATATTTGACATGACGGATAACGATAAGAATAGTATTAATATAATAGACTCCGATGTACGCGTACCGAATCCTCGGCACTTTTTATTCGCGTGACGATAAATTCCACGCCTTATTCGAGAAATTCCCCAGATTAACTAAACCACTCGAGGAGATTTCATCGGTGACCAATCGTGTGGTACACCACATAGTCACCTGCGGACCACCAGTCACGGCAAGACCACGCCGACTGGCACCGGACAAATTAGCCTTCGCTAAACGTGAGTTTGACAATTTACTATCTGCTGGTATTATTCGTCCTTCTCACAGTCCTTGGGCCTCTCCTTTACACATGGTGCGCAAAAAGGATGGGTTAGTTGGAGACCATGCGGCGACTACCGAGCATTAAACGTAGTTACGCGCTTTGATAGCTACCCCATCCCCCACATACACGACATCACGGCATCGCTCAAGGGCACGACTATCTTTTCTAAAATCGATCTGGTACGAGCATATCACCAGATCCCAGTCGCTCTTGAAGACATCGAGAAAACTGCTATCACGACTCCTTTCGGTCTGTTTGAGTTCCTACGAATGCCATTTGGATTACGGAATGCTGCTCAAAATTTCCAAAGGTTTATCGATAGCATAGTACGAGACTTGGATTTTGTTCACGTCTATATTGATGACCTGCTGATCGCATCATCAAACGTAGATGAACATTATCAACACCTTACGCTATTATTCCAACGTCTTTCGGATAATGGAATAGTAGTCAACCCAGAGAAATGTGAATTGGGTAAATCAGAAATAATATTTCTGGGTCACATCATCAAACAAGAGGGTATTCTGCCTTGCGAAGACAAAATTCGAGCAATCAAGGAGTACAACGTGCCGTCCTCAATCAAGGAACTGAAGGCTTTCCTCGGTTTGGTTAACTTCTACCGACGTTTCATCCCTCACGCGGCAGAACGGTTACGACCATTAACCGATTTACTACGCGGTAATCCACGCAAATTAGAACTGAACGATACCGCACGTACTGCATTCTCAGAGATCAAAACGGCTCTCGCTGAAGTTACACTTCTCGCTCATCCTGACCCATCAGCCACGCTTAGTATAGCGGTTGATGCATCGGATTTTGCCATAGGAGCCGTTATGCAAAAGAATATCTCCGGTAGTTGGCAACCGCTTGAATTTTTCTCACGACGCCTTACTCCCACGGAGACGAGATATAGCGCTTTTGGTCGCGAACTGCTTGCAGCCTACTGTGCCATCAAACATTTCCGGCACGCAGTAGAAGGACGCCAATTCATCTTATTCACCGACCATAAGCCCTTAACGTATGCCCTGCATACCAAGTCTGACCGCTACTCACCACGAGAGTGCAGACATTTGGACTATATCTCACAGTTCACGACAGACCTTCGTCACATTAAAGGCGAGTCGAACTATGTTGCCGATGCTCTATCACGTATCCAGACGAATGCAGTTACCTGACCGGTGCTCGATCTTCCTGCTATGACCGCCGCACAAGCAAACGATCCTGTCTCTACAGAAGCACCACAATCTTCGTCCCTTCAGTGTCAGGAAGTACCCCTAGCTACTAGCTCAGGTACTATCCTATGTGATATTTCTACCGGTCTTCCTCGACCCATCGTACCCTCTACCTATCGCCGTCTCGTCTTTGATGCCCTTCATGGATTGTCTCATCCAGGTATCGCAGCCACATTACGCCTCATTGCTGCACGATACGTCTGGCCGTCCATGAATAAAGATGTTCGTATGTGGGTAAAGCAATGCTTACAGTGTCAACGATCAAAAGTGCACAGGCACGTAGCTGCCCCCATCGGCACGTTCGCTACGCCTGATGCTCGCTTTGACCACGTTCATATAGACATTGTAGGACCCTTGCCACCATCGCATGGGTATGATCACATACTCACGTGCATTGACCGTTTTACAAGATGGCCCTAAGCTATTCCCATCACGTCTATCACGGCGGAGACAATTGTTCACCGCTTCGTAGAACGATGGATAGCATTGTACGGTTGTCCCTCAACTGTCACGACTGACCGAGGACAACAATTCGAGTCCGCACTGTTCTCCTCACTGACCCGGCTGAGACTACCGTCTCACGTTCCGGTCGCCGAGTACGATTACCCGTACGCTTTCGCGACTAACCGCACAGTCAATAACGGATACGGTGTAGGATTATTCCTATACTACACGCATGCTACACTTTTCTTTTTTTGATTTTTTTTGTATCCTGAGCCCACGCCTCCGACCATCGTCCATTTGATAACGTCGACTTCAGTCAACTTTGGCAAAAGCTGGTTTGGCCACCCACGCTCTAGTCAACGCACTCAGTCGATTATCTGGTCTCGAATTCGCCTGGCATATGCTCGGTAGTTATGGTCGCGTCCGGTTTCTTGGCTCAACGTGGTTTCGTCCTACGTCTGCAGCGTTTTCTGGTTCGCATCCCTACGAACGCAATCATCAGATCCTGGATACAAACCACTCTGGTGTGGTATGCTAATTCGACCAACAAATACAGCACACTTCTCCTGGTACCGTTCTGCGCAAAAGACCTTCGTTGGCAACTCGAGGATCAATGATCACTTCCTGTTCCGCCAATTTCCTCCGTCCTACAACCGCAATTCTGCCGATCAGTCCCACGAATCAAACCGCTAACTATCGAAAGTGTAAACCCTTTCTAGCGGGGGGCTCCTGTAGTGACCTACTTTTGTCAACAGAACACGATTGGTTTGATGAAAACAATTATTATTATAACCAATTGTACCAGTGACTGTATTACTGTGCTCGTTTGTTTAACTGTGCTAATAACAGCCATTTTGGGCTTCCATTGTATTCCATTGCTTTTACGCGGCTTTTGACTACGCACGTATCTTATCTTGCCGATCGCAACTGTACTCCTTTGGCACGATCTCGGTATTCTTTCGATACCACGAGATCGCCAACAAATATATACG